GGAAGGGGGGAGGAGGGAGGGGGAGAGGGGAGAGGGGAGAGGGGAGGAGGGAGGGGAGGAGGGAGGGGAGAGGGGAGGGGGAGAGGGGAAGGGAGAGGGAGGGGGAGAGGGGAGAGGGGAGGGGGGAGAGAGGAGGGGGAGAGAGGAGGGGGAGAGAGGAGGGGGAGGGGGAGAGGGAGAGGGAGGGGGAGAGGGGAGGGGGAGAGGGAGGGGGAGAGGGACACTCCTCGCAGCACGTGTTGGGGGAGCTGTAGATCCTCCCCCCCCCTGTAGGGGTCTCGTGGGAAGAGGTGGTGACGGGCAGGGGGGAAGCAGTGATCCCGCTACCAGCCTAATCAGGCTCATACTTTACGTCTCCCTCCCAGCCTCCCGTCTCGCTCCCCTACCCCCCTTTCCTCTGCCCCCACATCCTCCCCACCACCTTCATTCACTTCAGGCTGGCCTCCGTGCGGCACTCCCTGCAGCCCGCGGACATCTGCTCCCTCGCCGCCGCCGCTCATGGCTTTGTGGCGGCGGACCTGGCTGCACTGGTGGACGAGGCGGCGCTGTGCGCGCTGAGGAGGACGGTCCAGGGGGGGGAAGAGGGCGGGGGGGGCAGCCGGAGGGGGGAGCAGGGGGCGGAGACAGCCGCAGCAGCACGGGCAGGGGCAGGGGCGAGGACAGTTCCGGACCTGGAGGAGGAGGAGGAGGAGGCGGCGGTGGTGACTCTGGAGGACTTCAGGTTCGCTGCGAAAAGAGGGGAGGGCCAACTCCAGGGGGAGTTAGCGGGGTGGTGGGGGGCAGGGATGGGGTTAGGAGGGGGTCGGAGTCTGGAAGGGTTTTGCGACAGGAGGGGGGGAGAGGTGGTCTGAAAGGAATGAACAAGTAAGGAAGATGACGTAGATGTGGAAGTGGGAGTTGGTTGTGACGGTTACGGCAACCGCCATAACCGTCTCAACCGCCACAACCGTCTCAACCGCCACTGTTCTTTCCATTACCCGCAGGACAGCCGAGACACGTGTACGCCCCAGTGCTTTGCGGGAGGTTGCGGTTGAGGTTCCTGCCGTACGATGGGACGACATTGGAGGCCTACATTCCGTGAAGCAGGCGTTACGTGAGGCGGTGGAGTGGCCGCATAAGGCCCGGAGGTGGGTTGTGAGCTTGCTTGGGGTGGAAGTTAGGTAAACTGGGTTGATGTATGTATGTATGTATGTATGTATGTATGTATGACTTAGATTACACTGTGGGCTGCGAGAGCCGGGGGCCGAAGCCGAAACACAGTGCAAGGGTCGGGACACAGCACAAGTCGGTTAGTCTTGTGTGCTCCCGACCCCGACTCAGACTGCCAACACTCTACGCAGCCACTCCGCAGCCCCTCCATCCGGGGATGGCGCTGCATTGAATACACCACGAAGGGCTCTCAGGTCCCGCTAGAGCGAGTCCACAAGTCTCAGCTAGGGCAAAGTCAAAGGCTCTCTGAAACAACCCCCCAAAACACCACCAACGAAAACGGGATCCTAAGGGAGGAAAACAAACAAACAAAAATTCGGTTAGGGCAGTCCCGGCAGGGGAGGGCTCCTGATATACCTAACAGGCCAACAAAAAAACCTCCAAGAGAGAAAGGCTAAGAGAGCTCGACACCACAAGACGTCTTGCAACCACCTTAAAACAACTGACCTCCACCACCTGTCCCTTCCTGGGCTGGTCCAGGGGAGAAGTAGCCTTATCGAGCCACATCTCCCCCTCATCCGAGCCCCGCTACCACCACCAGACCTCAACCTCCCAAACACCAGAAAACCTACGTCCTTTTGGCGCTCTCACCGCCATCTCCCCCCTCCCCTGTCCGAGCGACCCCACCTCCCCCCGGCTCTCCAGCACCCTACAACGTCGGAGCGGCACTAGTGAAGAAAAAGGGTTCTTCCCTGCACGACGTGACCGCCTCCATTCCCCGTCCTTCTCCTCTCCCTCTCCCGTCTCGGGGTTCCCTCTCACCTATTCCCTTGTCCTCCAACCCCCATCCCCCTTGAACTCCTATAACCCCCCGAGCCCTGCCCTACATACTAAGCTCAGAGCGCTCTTAGGCAATAATTTCCACCGCTTCGGCGCACCGCAGTGCGCCTTCTGAAACCGACAGGATCGGGTGGTCGGGTCCCACCCCCGGCGCGTTCAGTGCAGGCCCCGTCTGCGGTCCCGCCCCGTCGGCCTGGATGAAAAAGTCTGTTATCCGCCTCTGTCTGGGGCCGGGTACCTGCACCTGCTGCGCGTGCTCCCGGTTCTGTGGTCCTTGGCTCCCAGCTCGTTCCTGCCTCCTGCCCGCTGCCCTCAGGCAGCATCTGCCAACCTCCATGGCAGACAGGGCCGACATGGCGATTATATCCCATACGGCCTGTATGTATGTATGTATGTATGTATGTATGTATGTATGTATGTATGTTTTACGATTATGGGCACAGCGGCGGTGTGAGGTGATATGTCGTGGAGGACGTGGCGTGGCAGGATGTCGCCCTCACCGCAAAACCCCCCTCCCCCCCCAGCCCCCACCCGGTCCCCACCCGCCCCATCCAACGAGTCCCTCCTCTTCCCTTTCTCTCCCTACCCACCTCCCCCGTAGCTCCCTGACCCGCCTGGGTACGGCACCCCCCCGAGGTGTACTGCTGTACGGCCCACCCGGCTGCAGTAAAACCCTGCTGGCCCGGGCGGTGGCGAGTGAGGCGGGACTCAACTTCCTGGCGGTCAAGGGAGGGGAGCTGGTCAGCAAGTACGTTGGGGAGAGTGAAAAGGTGCGTGGGATGTGTATTTGTGGTGGGTTTGGAGGGGGGAGGGGAAATACCCTGGAGCCGCCCGAAGAGGATGCGTTGTGCGACTGGGCCCCTCCCCCGCCACTCCCCTTTTCATTTCCATAACCCCCCAACCCCCCCCCCCCCCCACACACACACACACCCACCCCACACACACTTCTTGCGCCCCCCGCTGTCATCATACACACACATACACACACACACACCCTTCAGGCCGTGGCCGGGTTATTCGCTCGGGCCCGTGCGACCGCCCCATCCGTCATCTTTTTGGACGAGTTGGACGGTCTGGTGGGCTCCAGGGGCGCCCCTGATGCGGCAGGAGGAGGAGGCGGTGGGGGGGAGGGGGCAGCAGGGGGAGTGAGTGAGAGGTTGCTGAGTCAGCTGCTCATGGAGATGGACGGATTGCGGGTGGGTTGGGGGAGCGGTGGGGTTTGGGGGGGAGGGGGGGTCAGCGGCCCGGGAGCAAAGGGGGGAGCGAGGGGGGGAGCGAGGGGGGGAGCGAGGGGGAAGGGGGTACTATGAAAGCACAAGCACTTAATACGATAAGGTAAGATGTTGGGATTTTTTGGACATCAGGGAACAGCTGACTGTGCTTTGGGAGGTCGGGAGGGAGGTCGCCCGAGGGGGCTGATGAGTGGTGGGTTGGGTTGGATTGCTGAGGCGGGTAGGTGCGGGGATAGTGGTGGTGGGATGCATGACGTGACATTTATTAATGTTAATGAGAGAGAGAGGGCAATGGAGATAAAGGGGAGGGGTTTCAATACACAGACACGATCAGACTGGGCCCGGCCCCCGCTGCCGTCGTCCCTGCAAACCCGCTCGCCGTACTTGCAGCTAGCTCGACATCCCCTTCGGCAGCCCTTCCCGCACCATTTCGATTCACCCCTCCCGAGATCCCCGTACGGTCCCCAACCGGATGTAGCATGTACAGCAGTACTGCATACACCGTGTCCGTGTCAAGTTTGTGTTCGTGCCTGCAACAACTCTTTCCCCTGCCCCCCCTCCTCTTTGCCCCCCCCCAATACACACACATGCACACGCACACACCCCCAGGAGCGAGGCGACGTGGCGGTCCTGGCCGCCACCAACCGCCCGGACTGCCTGGACCCGGCATTGCTGCGTCCAGGTCGCTTCGACCGCCTCATCTACGTGCCAATACCGGACAGAGACGCGAGGTAGGGGGAAGGGGGGAGGGGGAGGGGGGGTGATCGAGTTGAGGGAAGGGGGAGGTGTCCGGTGCGGTCCCTGCTCACTCAGCCGGCGGCGGGACGTCACGATGGATGCCAGGCAGGCCACGCTAAAAAGCCACGAGCTCTCCAAAAAACACCAAGAAGCCATGTGCAACCACGAGGCGCGGGCCCTTCAGCACGAGCGGGACCAGCTGACGGGGCGGACGGTCGACAACCTTTTGTACAGAGCACTCAGCAAGTCCGAGAGGGGAGTTGTGCAGCAACTGCGGCAGCTCTTCTTCATGCTGGGGGGGTCTGGGGGGGTCTGGGGGGGCGCAGCCCTCCCCCAGCGACTATACAAATAGGAATTGTAACCGCAAGAAACACCCAGTTCAGTTCTATAGGGTACTATAGGGTACTAGGCCCAAAACGAAAAAAAAACACTGCTCACACATACACACACACACACTCTCTTAACACACACACCCTTTGGCCCCCCACCCAATTTCAGGTTGGAGATCCTGCGCGTCCAACTCCGTCGTTGCCCAGTGGCGGATGATGTGGACCTTGAGCTGTTGGCCACCCGTACGGCAGGTTACACTGGCGCTGACCTGGCGGCTGTCGTACAAGAGGCAGGACTAGCTGCGCTGGAGGAGGACCTGGGGACGGAAATGGTGCGGGGCCCCCCGAGTGGGAAGTATGGAGTGGGGGTTGATGTGTGTGTGTATGTATGTGTGTGGGGGGGAGGGATAACTCCCGGGTTGGCGGGTGGCGTGATGTACTGTGTGTGTATGCGTGTATCGTACTGCGTGCCACTTTATCCAGCTATATAATCCAGTAGGACGAAGAATCACAGATCCGGATCCAATTGAAAAGGCACCCGCCCACCCCACCCCACCCATACACACACATACATACACACACATACACACACATACACTTACAGGCGCAACTCCCCTCCTCCGCGCCCTCCTTGTTCCCTTCCACTCATCTGCTGGGCGGCTGTTTGTATGTTGTGTACGGATGGGTTGGTTGGTTGGTTGGTTGATGGTTATTCATCTCAGGTGTCCATGCGGCACCTGGAGACTGCCCTGAAGGGCGTGGGGCCAAGTCTGGAGCCAGCTCCGGAACTGATCAGCATGTACGGCAGGATGCAGCGGGCCGCAGTGGTGTCCGTGTGATGTGTATCAAGGACGGGGGGCCAGAGGGGTGAGCAGGGGGGGGAGTTGTGTTTTGTGAGGTGGTAGGGGCAGGGGTTGTGTTTTGTGTCACCTCACAGGCGGAATGCCGCCGGTGTACGAACGTGTACGGCACGGAGCTGGTTCCAGTCGGTTCAGCAGCAGCAGCAGCTGACTGATCAGCGCAATGACCGGTGGAGGTGGAGGTGGAGGTGGAGGTCCGCTCCTCTTACCCCCCCTGCCCGGAGCTCAGCTGGGGGCCTTATATGGGGGGCTGCGGGAGGTAGGGGGAGCAAATGTTGGAACCGATGTTTTAAATCTGAGCAATTTCACTGCTCTCTTCCATGAACTTCCTGAACGTTCGTCCGTCTATCCGTCCGTCCATCCGTCCGGTGTTTCCGTTGCTCTCCGGTGATCACCGGTTACGTGTGTTCGCTGTTACAACCGTTGCGTGCGCCACACAGCGGCCCCCTGCGCACTCAACAGCGCTTCATCAGCAGGTCCCGACATCCATTCATAACAACCCAACGTTGTCATAATAATAATCTTCACGTCGGTCACTATTCTTTCATACCAATGAATGCCACATGTTTTCAATACCATTCTGATTTGTTTCCTTTTGTCGCTCGGGCCGCCTGCCCCTGCCTAGCCAGGGGAAAAGGCTACAGAAAACAATACTAAATTTATTATGTGATCTCCAGTGACGTGAACTTCAACCGCAAGGCGAATACCGCTTTCCTTGCCGTGATGCACTGTCGTACACTTATGGTACATGTGGTATACGTGGCCCTATGTGATATACATGGCTGGGATACATACAGGCGTACAATTTTAGGTCCTACTCCTGTTCGGGACTTTAGGTGCCTTCATTGTCTGCGTGGTACGTTCTCACCAGCCGCCCACTCCCTCAGCTTCATTGCCACTATGGCACCTTGAGTTCCTTCTGGACGCTCTCGACATCACCCATCACCCGTCACCCTTGTAATCGACATCGATTTACGCTGCGACTACAGACTTTTATTGGAAAAGACTTACTAACAAGTCGCTGGTGATTATCAAGAAGAGATTATTCAGAGCTCGCTTAGGTCTGAAGTTATTCTCCAGTGTACCACCACTCCACTCCACTCCACACCAAATCCGTCCACATCCCGACATTTCTCTCTTCCCGCCAAAAGGAGGTGGATTGCGGCGCTGAAGATCGTTGAAATGCATGATGTGGTACGTATGATCACGTATCATCATCATCATCATCGTCATCATATCGGCTCCAGGACATTCGAGTGCTTCCAGTCTCGTGATTCACTGGCGGGTACTTAAGTGCGCACGGAAACCCTCTCCCCCTCTTCTCCCTCTTCTCTCTCCCCCTCCTCATTATCAACATCATCTTGCAACCTCCCGCTCTCCCCCAATCTCCGCTTCTTTTCCCCTCTTTCCCCCCTCTCCTCCCCCATCCTTTCGTCCTGTCCCTTCTATGCCCTCGACAAGGCCTCGAGGATTGCTACTGGGCTCAGGTCTTCGTCGTTGGATCCACCACCACGCTCGCACTTCACACCTCAACAGGCACATGTTCCATAACAGGTTCATACTATAGGCAAACTATCTTCTAAATAGCTTTCAGTGCCCCCTCCCCCCCTCGCCCACAACGCTTGCTTGCCCTCGCCCTTCATTCACGCCCTCCTCTCTCCTCCCCTCCCCTAGTAGGCGGTGTCGCTCCCTGTCTTTCCTTGGAAGCCACGTCAAGTCGTTACTCCCCTTTCATCCCCTTTGCATTTGTTGCTCCAGGAGCAGGAGAGTCTGACGGGGACGCTGAGGAGCAGCAGCGATTTACCGGAGACCCCTCCCCTCCTGTTCCGGCTCCTGCTCCTGCTCCTGCTTCCAACAAACCGCAATGGTCTGCTCTCCCCGTCGCAATCTCATCTCACTGGGAGCTGGGTGTTCTTAAACTTCTATTTTGGTCGCGTCTAGAGTCTCAAAAGAGTCATCAAACCGCTTGGAGGCGCGCCGCCATGCTGCTGCTGCGGGGGGGGTCCAGCAGCTCCCGAGGGGGGCTCCCAGCCTGAGAAAATGAATTGTTATCAAAATGAACGAACGAACGACAGTGGTAACGACATCAACGAAAATAACGGGAAAATTAACGACATTGAGATTTTTCAACATTTTGTTAATAATAAATAATGATGAAAGAGAAACGCCTGGCGGCAGTGCTGGCAACAGCAGCAAAGCAGCGTGCACGTCACATCACATCACAACAATCTTTTTAAGACACACCTCCCCCCTCACCCCCAACCCCCTCACCCCCCCCAACACACACACACACAACGCCACCTACCTTTTTCAAGTTGTATCCATTCCCTAGCTTTCTCCGCCTGCTGGGCGCCATCCACGTCAGCCACCACCACCTGCCCCGCACGTCGAAGGTCTCCTGCCAGTTCGCCGCCAGCCCCAGGTGGTACGGATTGCTCCACCGCCGCCCCGCCGCCCGGGCCTCCGCCGCCCGGTCCGCATTGTCCAGGTAGTCGATGGTGCCTTGACCGGTCAGCACCAGCCACACGTGCCAGCCCAGCAAAACACACATGGCCAGCCAGATGGAACACGACAACACGAACCTGTGTACGAGTGTGTATGTATGTATGTGTTTGGGGAAGTCAGGAGTGGGGGTGAAAGGGGGGAGTGTGAGGCGAGGGCTTTTTACTGCCCAAAGCAGAGCTCCGAAACCGTTCAGAGAGAGCTTTGTGGGCCTTATCCGGTCCGAGTACCAATATTTCCTCGCCCAAATCGACCAACTGTCTATTCCCCTTCCTTCCGCGACAGATGTCCTCCACACGCCCCTTCCTCTCCTCCAGCCTACAAACTCCCCCTTCCCTGCCCCTTCCCTGCCCCCTCCCTGCCCCCTCCCTGCCCCCTCCCTTCCCCGAGTCGTCGGTATTCCCCTCTCTGACTATGGCATTGGGTAGCCCAGCCCGGAAACACCCTCGCCTCCCCTCCTCCTCCCCCCCTCCTCCCCCGCTTACATGAAGAAGGGCAAGAAGCCCGCTTGCTCCCACGTCGGGTCGCTCAGCCGCAACATGACGGGCACATGCAGCCACAGCACCGCAGCGGAGTACGCCGACCCCACCCACATGTAAAACAAGAACAACACGAAGAAGCGGTAGTTGTAAAAACCCACACAGTTGGCCATCCATACGCAGTGGTGGTCCTGCAGCACGCACGACATGTACCGTACAGTACGGCGGGGTACGGTAATTTTGCGTACGACATGAGATTCGAATGTGGGGTTTTTCTCGTAATCACTTTGGTGGTGGGTGTGAAAAAGTGTGGGTCGGGGAGATTGGCTTTAGGGATACGGCAAATCCGGATCCAGGAGACCGAGATTTAGAATCTTCCGGAGGATCTTTCTTGACCCATCAGAACTCAGAGGAGAGCTGCTTTCCGCTCAGGTCGTTCTTCCTCTATGTCCTCCCCTCTCTCCGCCCTCTCTCCCCTCTCCGCCCTCTCTCCCCGGCCTCAGGGGAATATCCGCCCCACCACCCGAGACCAGGAGACGCAGGTGCAACCTAGGGCCCAACCTGGCCAGCAGCGACACCGCCGGACCCCCGACCTCAGCCGAGCCGGCTACACAGAAAAACCCTTGCCAGCCCCCCCTTCCCGCGGCGGGGACCCCCACTCCCCCCTCTCTCCCCGGCCCCCGGCTCCGCACACCATTTTCAGCACGCATCTGCACATGGTACATGGGGGGGGGGGGGGGAAATGGAAAGAAGGGTGGGACACCGGGCGGCTGTGATGTGACGACGGGATACCACGACAGCAGCAATCGCGGAGGAATTCAAGGGGGGTGGGGAAACGGGGGGAGGAAGTGAGGACGTGGAGGAATCGAAGGGGGGGGCACATGTGCGAGAAAGTGGCAAGTGAGCTGCTGCTGCTGCTGCTGCTGCCGGTGTCCAAGGTGGGATAGGATGGATAGGGGGGAGGGAGAGGGGATTAGCCGCACTTCAACGATCCTAGACCCAAACCTTGGCTGAGTCTATCTCCCTCCCCCGACCCACATAAGTCGTACCTTCTTTTGCTCCTTTGCCCTTCTCCCCCTCCCCCTCCCCCGACGTACGGCAACTCACTTGTTGCACACGGAGCAGTGGTGGGCCAGGGGGGGTTTACCCCGGTTGCACGTACGACACCACCGCCAGTCGTACGTCATGGCCGACTGAAGCGCCTGAAGGCGCCAAGAGAACATACATATATACATATATACATACAGACAGGCAGACAGACGGCAAACTTGCGCACAACGCCATTTCGTGAACATGTCTACCTACAAAGAAACATACATACAGACAAACAGATCTCCCACGGTAGCACCCCACATCGCTTTACGAGTGCGGTTAGACACCACAAGGCCCCACCTGGGGTTTACCTGTGGCTCCGATGTGGACTTGACATCCCCGACCCCTGAACCCTGCCCAACCGGCATCAGTTTCCCCGGCCTCCCCGCGCTGTCGTACGAGCCACCCCAAACCCCAAACCCTAACCCCCCCAGCCCCCGTCCTCCCCCCCACTCACCCACTCACCCCCCACCTGCTCTTGCACCTCCAGGGTGTTGCCCGGGCTGGTCAGTGTGCAGTGCAGCTGGTTCCAAAACACGTTGAACAGCAGCCACATCGACCAAACCACGTGGGCACCAGCAACGGCTCGGCCGCTGTGGTGCAGTATCTGGTGGTGGAAGGTGCGATATGACGGAATGACGATAATAACAGTAATGTGATGTAGGAGACAGTAATAGCAGTAATAAACAATAAATTAACGGCGAGGACGCACAACCATCAATCGGAAGCAGCAGCAGCAGCAACAGGAGGAGGACGGACAGAGGAGGCAGTAGCAGTAGCAGTAGCAGTAGCAACAGCCATATGGTGAGTACACGGCAACGGGGGGTTTTAGGCAAGACGGAAGGTAAGGGGTTCGTCCCCGGGAGGAAGGGGGAAAACAGAAACCCTAGGGGGCCCAGACAAGGGGCGGGAGGATGGAGGGGTGAGGTTGGCGGGGGTCGCTGGGGTCGCTGTCGGCGGCCAGCGGCAAGGAGCCCCCAGGGTTACGGATGGCACGCAACGCACTATGCAAGGCGGGGGGGGAAGCAAGCGGCTGAGTCGTCGGCCCCCCCCGTAGGGGTGGGTGGTTCCAACAGGCCTTCGTCTTATGTGGGTATGGCCGTGTACGGGATGGACGTACGGGGCCCCAGGGGGGACAACGCACATGGGTTGGAGTGAAGCGGGGGCAATGGCATGGCAGGGGAATAGAGGTGTTCCCTTAGGTCGGGCGAGATGTTGTTTGGATTAGGGAGTGTCGCTTGTGACGAGAAGGCATGTGGCGACGCAATGATTGAAGGTTCGAGCAGAACACATGAGCCAGTCCGGGGCGGCGTTGTGTGTATCGTTGTGTATCGCGTGCGTTCTGTGTATCCCACAGCGAAAAGCCATCCCTTTCCCCAAACATGCCTTTCCCTTAGACCTACATCTGGTACCACATGCTTAAAGAATGTATAGACGTCCAGCAACACGAGAGTGATTGCGAAGAGGACGAGGAAGGGCTCGACGTACTTCACGCTTCGGTCAAAGAAATTGATGAGTTTGTTCATGCAAGCTTCGCATTTAGACTCTCCTGTTGGTCCCCGCGCCATGGCAGCGTAGAACTGCCCGAAGGGATATGCACGGAGTCTGCTCGATCGAGGTCGAGCAAATTAAAAGGCCGGATTTCTACTCATTTTTATACGTTTGCCGTGATGGTGAGTTCAGTAAGTTGTCTACATGCGCCGGCTTTGCTTACTACTAGTGTGCCGTTTCCATGTTTGCATACTGCAGTTCGAATTTTAGAACACAATCTAACTATATAAATGTATGCCAACTACATTATGCATGTAATTGTATACCAGTTGCAGAGAACTTAGTTTGCTTCCGGAGGTTGATTTGCAAGTCATGGATGCTCAAATGTTGCGATAGATGCATACTCATATCAGGTACGTAACAACTAGCATTTTGTTACGAATAAACAGCACAATTTTTGGATTGCGCTTTTTGCATGTTCAGTAATCCTCGACGGAAGAGCGATGATGTCCGTCACGCCCACTTTGTATTAATTAGCAATGATCTATGGTATGCACGATCCATGTCAGCCAACAAAGCGTCCGGGATATGCTGTTGGTAAGCTGCGAGGGTTCGATTCTTCCGTTCATTCAGTTGCACTAACTGCTGGATAAGTGTCGCGTGACTCGCGTAAAGCAAAGTTACGCACTTAGCCTCATAAACTCAATCAATCAAAACAGAATTATTATTTCCTTGCTCCGGCGTAGCCAAAGTCTATGCCGACACGCGGACCTCCTAAGGATTGGTTCGTTTACTGCGCCAAAGCGTCGTCCAACAGCGGGAATCCCCGGAGTAACAGCCTGCAATGTCGAAACGAGATTGCGCCGGGCAACTACGTCCTTATGAGCCAGTTTCCTCCCGATAACGGCAAAAAGACGAGCCACCTGGCAGACATACATAATGGGCCCGGGCTACCTAAGAGAACATGGCACCATGGGCCCTTGCTGCCTAGGAAAATAATCCACCCTCCCTACAGTAGGCTAAGACCACCCGCGGGTAGAATTGACGGGATGCTCCGCCAATGTCTACCTGCCCAGATCGCCTAAGGGGATGTTTGTTTCCTTACTACCACAGAACAAAAGATTCCGAGCGGTTACATCTTGCGCAAACCCGCTAGGAGCCTGGTATCTGTGTCACGGTTCCCTGAACCGAAGCAGGCGAGGCGAAACAGGTTACCTGCACATGTTTTTAACTGGAGCAGGAAAGCAGCAGGTAAAAACCGCTGCTCGCCTATCCTTGGCTGTGGAGGGAGGAGGCAGAGCATCTGAGCACAAGTTCCTTCCTTCCCAAGATGACTGTCCTTTTAGGGTGCCGCCTAAAACGTCCATTCTACGCCTGCAAGGCAGGGCGGGTTGGGGGTCCACTGGAGCTTACCATCGCCACCCTCTTGTGCCTTGCGCAAGCAAAAGTACCCTGTGTCCCGCCCCTGGCCGGCTTTTCCACGGTCAGCGGATTCAGCTTGCGGACCTGGCAGATGGGGCGGAGCTCGACGACGAGCTGCTCAGCCAGCTAGACCCGTACCGTACGGCTTTTGAGCGTTGGCAACATGGGCAACATTGGCATTAGCAACTTGCTTCATGCACAGTCAGCGCCTCTGTTAGCGCGCTTGGGAGCACGGAGAGCAGACGGCAAAACGGTGCACCTTCAGGTGTGTAGTGTGCATCTGCTGCCACCATTGCAACCATTGCGCCACAACCACAGCGAAAAGTCCCAGCGCCCCCGGGCATGGGCCATTCAGTTGGGGCCTTTAAAAGCGAAATCCCAATATCCGCCCACATCCCAATATCCCAATCCAAATATCCGCCGTGTTGCGTCTCACAAACACGGGACAAGAACAGTAGCGCAAGCTGCAAGGAAGGTTTTACCGGGAGATAGTGACGTTAAACCGTGGGTGTGGGGATTTGGGGTGAGACACGCGACCTTTATGGACCTCCCGTCAGGCAAGCCTCACGGCTCCCGCCTCCTAGAGCTCTTGAGACATACCGCTGAAATGGTATAGTTCGTACGTCCGGGAGCCTTGGGCTTGAAGAGTGGAAGAAGAAGAGGCCTGCCTTGTCACGGCACAGCGCGTGAGACTGCGTTGCCAATTTACGCCGCTAACAAAAAGGTCGACAAGGAATTCTGCTTCTGAAGGTATGCTATTTCGCGCATGTAAAGATCACTGGAGGTCATGCGTGAAAATTGTTTATATGATCTAAAGACGAGTCCCCTCCCCATCCCCGTGAGCCATAGCTCCCAGTCATTTGGGTGATGCAACTCTATGTCCCGAAGCAAAATCACGTTATTTTCATGACTTTATGAACAAATTCCGAGCAGAGGATGGCTCAACTTGGCTGCATACCTTTCCGTTTTCAAGATTCTGGTCCTGGTGTGTTGACAAGCCTTCCCCACATAATAATTACCACTGTTTTGTGCAGTTTATGTCTATGGTATGCATGGACACGTACATAAGAGACCCTTGCCTTGCCAAGGCTGCACCCCTACGATCGGTTAACCTCTTAGTCGCATGGGACGCGGATCTACGGCCTTCAGCATAACAACAATTCCAAAGAGGTTCTAGAGTACTGTTTGTGACCTGTCTGGTGAATTGTCGTCCCATCAGATGCCGGAGTACGGATCTGCTCAAAATCTTCTCCGTCACTTTAGTTGGTTGCAGTTGTTGCAAAGGAACTGGCCTTCCAAAGTCATTTGCCAAAACCTTATTGTTAGACGTCCAGTTCATGCCGTGATTGTTTTCTCTAGCCGCCTGAACGCTATCTCTTGACACCTATTGTCGTAGTGTCGACCGATTGAAGGCCGAACGAGTTTCCCTGTGACGTGACATGTCCAATTTCGCCATGCGGCCGCTGTCCGCACCAGTTCAGGGCCATCGGTTAGGCCGGAACGCACCCCTTTCCATTAATGTCGCACCGCTCACCAGGCGGGCAGGCTGGAAGGCCGCACGTCACAGACCGATCTCCTGTCCAGCAGTATTGGCTCCAATTGAAAATACCTTGCTCAGTCAACGGCAATCCGGAAACCACGGCGTTCAGCATGCTTCACTATTGCATGGATTGGGCAACGTTGGGGAGGTCAGCCCCACGCACCTGCCATGGCTTCTTCGTTTGGCTCACGTGCGTGCCAAGACGTCTGGCGGTGATTCTGCCGAGGCCCTTCAGGTGCGCGTTCATCACCTTCGCCACCTGCTTCTCCTTTTCCCTAACCCCACCGCTCCGTTTGAGCGCAAAACTCCATCGCTTCCTCCGACAAAGCACGGCTTCTCTGTGGCTTCCACACTGACATGCATGCGGCAGCATGGGCATATCCCGCCACATCCCTACAATTCATGGAAAACATTAGGAATCATGGACATGGCTTATTGGCAGCGGGTCCGTGAATTGAGAGTGAGAGGATGAGGGCCAGCAGGCAACCTTTCCTTCCGGGACTTTGTCCCAGCGATCTGCGCAAAAAGGGCAGATGGGTCGACACAGCAACGTAGTTCCAGCAGTCGCCACCATGCCCCCCGGGATGATGCAGGCGAAGGCAAAAGGGATCTAACGAAGAGGTATCGAATCGGCGCATTCCTTTCCAGCGGCCAGACCTTCCAGCTACCAGGACTACCACGAGCATCCCACGAAACTGGAAACCGTGTATTGGGTTCCAGTCCTTGTCTCTGACTCCTGACCCCGGTAGGAGCTCCCTGACACGGTGTATTGATGTCCACGTCACCAACCCTTCATAGCTTACTCGACCTGCCGCGACTACAGTCCAGCAGCATTGTTTAAGTGCGGGTTGCAAATTGCATGAACGATTCCTTCGGTCCCGCGGCAGCCGCGGCAACAACAGGCTGGAAGAGGTTATTGACCCCACCCACCATCATTCATGTCCGCCCTTGACAACCAACCCGTAATAACACCGCAAAACTCAAAGACAACTCGATTAGCTTTAAACCCTTTGAACCCCCAACGACCAATAGCTTTAAACCCGAGTTGTGTTGTTACTACCGATTGCTGCTACTTTCTCCAATGAACCCGTTGAAAACACTTCTTCCGAAAACACATCCTCCGGCACGTGGGTCACCTGGGTCAGCGGGAAGTTGTGAGTTCCTCGTCGCCCCCCTCACTCACCCACGCACTCACGTGGAGGGTCACCGCAATCCGCATCTGTGTCTTGTCGTGGCCGTGCCGTGCCGTGCTCTCCTCCAACCTGCACCTGGCAGTGCCGTGCAGTGCCGTACCGTGCCGGGATCGCCTTCACTTCAGCCTTTTCAGCGTGCTGGAGGATCAGTTGAAGATTTACCTCCTTGATATGATATACCTCCTCAACGCCGCAACCTTGTCCTGGCGCTGATCCTTCTTCTCACCCTGTACTTCAACAATCTTTTAAAGCCTACCGACACACAAACATACACACAAACATATACGCGAACACGCATTCCTAAACACCCTAAAATCCGGCCTCGTCCAAACCCTTTCCCCAAGTCCAATGCGTTTCCCCACCTTTCCCCCCCTCGGAATCATCACGTCTACCTTCGTTAGCTCTTTCTTAACCACCTTGTGCATTTTGTATCCCCCTAAATATTTGAAAATGTCATTAAATTTCCAAAACAATGATTGTGAGCTGTGCCCATGTAACTCATCCTCATCACCCCCCCCCCGACTCCTCCCCTACTCGCGGCGCCGTACACACAGGCTTCCTCTCGCGGCCTAGCTGCGTGGAGTGCCGCTCTGTCCCGGGGTCTGCTGCCGGACGACTCCACCCTTCAGCAGCTGGTGGCCGAGGGAGATGACTTCGCCGCCGCATGCGCCCACTCCCCCCTGGAGCTGCTGTCCTGGCCCGAGGAGCCCCTGCGGACCATGATGATCAGGGCGCTGGCCAAGCTGGGTGTGGGAAGGTGTGTTACTCAATTAAAACCTGAGCCGCGTTACGGGAACCGGCGCGAAGTGGGTGCGTGTCTGCGTGTGCGCGCGTGTATGTGTGCTTGAGAGGAAGGTATTTAGGGCTGGGATGGGAAAGAGCTGGGCGAGGGGGGGATTCGGGGAGTTTAGGGGGAAACCTTGGTTTTTCGGTCTTGCGTTCAAATGGAAGAGGTTCTGGTCGCTAAAATGGTGTCTAATAATCCGCCGGTCTAAGGCATTCTAAGGGATTCGGAGCTCGGCAGTTGATGTTTCCATTTGTAAAGTGTATGAATGGAGCCGTGCTCGTCCGTTTGTTCGTTCGTAGTTTATTATTGGGTCATTCCCGCCACCAACCGATGTTTGGACCGCATTATTTTCCTAGTCCTCTTGATGCTCTCCGCCGCCTGCCTCCCCCCCCCCCCGCCCAGCTTCATTGCACCTTGAAGATTTCTCCCCATTTCGCAGTATTTCCATCCCTCTCACCCCGGGGGCCCCCTTCAGGCTGTGTAAGAAGTACCCCGCTGTGCGTGACGCGCTGCTCAAGAGTGTTTTGGAGACGGTGGTGCGATATCACAGAATGCTGGCGGGCATTGAGGTGTGTGTGCGTGTGTGTGTGTGTGTACGTATACGTGGGGGGCCCATACGTGTGTGTGTTGTGTTGTGTTACACCTCGGTTGAGTTACCCAGACAGAGGTGTGTGTAACACAGGGGCCCATACGAGCCGTGAGAGGACCCAACAGCCTAGGGGCCGCAAGTTGGAAAAGGGACCAAGTACAACACATGTGTATGTATGTATGTATGTATGTATGTATGTATGTATGTATGTATGTATGTATGTATGTATGTATGTATGTATGTATGTATGTATGTATGTATGTATGTATGTATGTATGTATGTATGTATGTATGTATGTTGACGACGTGAGAGGGGTTTCGGCTAGGGAGCTCGCAGGGTGGAGGAAGGGAGGTCGGGAGGGAAGTACATACAGTCGTACAGACGTTGTACCGAAGACCAAAGTCCCAGCAGCGAATGGAACGGTAGCGGGGTTTATGAGGAAGCGATGTGCGGGTAAGGACACACAAGGAAGTGTACGAAGAAGGCCCCAGTGAACCGATTCCGGCCCTTATTGAGTTATTGAGGCCTCTAGCATTTGCCACAAGGCTCCATGCAGCTTGCATGGAACGGCCCGTGTTTTCATAACGAGTGCTCCGCATTCCATGTTCGGCATTTCCTGAATTCCTATTGGCGATAAGGGCTCAGGTTATGTGGTTTTTTATTGGTGTTGCTGTTCCGGTCCTCCTACCCTACCCACCTCTCGCCCGTATTCCTGTATGTATGTTACAGGGTGGTTAACTTCGCCAGCGGCCCCCTTTCCCGGGGCAGTCCCTGCTCTCCCCTGCTAGAGGGGCACCCTAATCCGTCACCCCATCCGACTTCAGAATGTATTCGTTGGGTTCGGCAACTCACCACCAGCATCCAACCAAATCTAGCGGATCTACGGCGCATCAACTTAGTTCCTGGTCAGCTCGCAAGTTGATATTATCACGTCCTACACCGTCCATATGATGGGGGGCCACCTCCCATTTCATCACTCCTCAAACACCCGAGGAGCCGGCAGGCGGATTTGAACCCGGGTCGACTGGGTCGACTGGGAGCAGAAGTCAGGCCTTAACCTCTGCCAGCCGCCTGCCTGTATGTACGTCCCCACCTCATCACACCGCCGCAATTCACCCGCAGGAGGAGAAGGAGGAGCGGGAGAAGGACATCCACGGCAACGTGTTCAAGACCGCGGCTGAGCTCCAGGTGGGGTGGGGTGGGGTGGGGTGGGGTGGGGACTGTGTGTGGGTCGATTGGCTGTGTGGGTTCTTAGGGTTTAACACCCTATAAGCCCTAAGTAAATTTAGGGCTAGAGCTTTTCCAGGTGTCGGGTTTTCCTGGTTTCAGCTCCAGGGTGGTGGTGTGCGGTGTATCCTGTCCTGCGCGGGACGGGACGGGACTCCGGTGCGCGCTAACCTGAGGCTGTGAGCCCAGGGGATGAACGTGGCCGGTGAATGAAGGTGAAGGTGGTTGGGAGGATTTAAAGAGCGAATGCCCGTTGAAATTGGTCGAGGATGAAACGAAGCCGGCCACACGGCTAAGTGAAGGGGCGCCTGGCGAGCTGCCCCGAGGTGAGTTGCGGCGGTGAATTCAGCTGAAGGGCGTAGCGGACTGGGGGCCCCGGATATATTGAACTCACGGAAGCCGCCGACCCCATTCAAGTTTATCCATGGCCTGTCACACCCCCCCATTTACATTTCCCCCCCCCCCCTCCGCTCCACACATACATACGCACGTACACACAGGCTGAGGAGGAGGCCCAGCGAGCTGCCACGCGGGGTGGGGGCCACGGGGTGAGTGAACGTGTGTGTCTTGGGGGGTTGTTGCTGGCGCGCCATGTCGAGATGCTCCGGAAAGGATGCGGGGGGAAAGTGCTGCGGGTGAGATATACATACGGACGGACAGAAGGACCCTGGGCGGAGAGGTGGTGGCGAGAGAGAGGCGTGTCACATCCGTTTCCTCCGCCTCCTCTCCCCCTCCTGTCTTATTCCTCCTCAAGTCCAGCTGCAGGCCCCGTGCCGCCGCCTCTGCAGTTGCCCCATGTGCCGACATGACTTGCGCACCTCCACCCCGCCGCCGGCAGTTGTTTCTTTTCGTGTCTTTGACTTGCTTGCAATATCTTCCCCTTTATCCCCTCCTCGAACACACACCCACACCCACTACACGCCCTAACCTTCGACGCCATCGTGTGCCTTCTTGCTCACATACCCGTCGGTTGATTCTTTGACTTTTGCTTGCCATCCCCAACCCCTTGCAGCCCCACTTCACTGATATGACACGAACCCCACCACACGCCCTCGCAGCATGGCGGCAAGGCCGTCGCCGCGCCTGCCGTACTGTCTCCCGCAGAGGTCACTGCTGCGCGGCTCCGCGCCGCCGCCGCCGCCGCCTCAGCGTCCGGCGCCTCCCCTGAGAAGGCCACCGCCTTTGCCCTGGTTAAGGAACTGTACGGGCAGTGGCAGGCGCCCGTGGAGACCCTGGGTCGCGCCGGGAGGGCGTTTGAGGGGCTGGAGGCGCTGCTGGGGGCGGACGGGTTCGATCTGGAGGTGGGGTTAGGGGGGTGGGGGGGTGGGGTGGGGGGAAAGACGAACCACGAAGGAACGCGTGAAGGTGATGCTGCTGATGAAGGAGGACATAGACTCTGATACGGCACAACTAGGTAACTAGAAGCAACTAACCAGTCGCGAGTTGCGGAGGAGGAGGAGGAGGACTCTTCGCAGTGTGACGTAGTCATGAAGATAAATAGCGCAAGCCTACCTACCTAGCCGCCGAGGTTAAAATAGGATACGGAAAGAAAGCAGAAAACACGCACCCGTATTGTCTTAAAAGTGTAAAGGCAGCGAAGAGCAAAAGGTACCTTAATTGACTTAAGTTGAAACAAAATCAGCTAATGAAGCTAAAGCTGAAAATTCTATACGCCGGCCTAGCTGGCGGCAGAAGTAAGAAGGAACAAAGGAAATCTGACTAATTCGCTGCTAATAAGCTGCTGGTAAACATGCATGTGCTCCTCCTCCCAACCCCTCCTTACCTCCGCCCCTGACCCGACCCCGGGGGGTGGGGGGAGAGGAAGGGTCCCCCGCTGCCCCCGCACCGTCTCTCCCACCCCTCCTTACCTCCGCTACCTGTCCCGATTTGTCCGTGTCTCCTAATCTGGACACCACTAACCTGGTGTGGCCTCTGAACCGGAGTTGACTTGAAACGAACTGAAGCGCCCTGGACTCTCCCCTCCCGACATCCCCCTCACCCCTCAGCCCCTGTAACCTCGTCCGGGCTCCAGTGCCTCACCTCATCGCTGACTAGGCCGCGACCGCCACCCCACTCCACCGCCGCCTACCCTCTGTCTCTGTCCCGCCTCCATTCGATCTGCAGGGCAGCATTTGGAAGAGACAGGGCTGGGCGCAGCTGGACGAGCTGAGGCGCAAACTTGAGGTACGGATTACCGTATGTACGTGATTACCGTACATACATAATTAGGGTTACGTTATATCGTACGTACATAAGTAGATGCGTTGTGTCTGTTGGTCACCTCGTCCGTCTGTCCATCACGCGTATCTGTGTAGTATGGCGGTAATAGTACGGCGGTAACATGGCGCGAGTGTGCATGAGTGTGCGCCGCGCCCAGCCCAAACATCACTAAATTTCGCCGCCTCACTGCTCCGATATACTACGGAGATGTAATGCAAATGATTCCCTCCGCCTCCCTCCCCCCCCCCACCCACCCAAACCTTATCCCACCTCCCGCCGAAACACACACACACACACACACACACACACACACAGAGACACACAGAGACACACACGCATCGTGCACCCTAACAACAGCCCGCGTGTAACCGTGCCTTTGTTTTGTGTTCCCCATCCTTTGCCGTACACGCGCCGTACACACGCGTATGTACGGCTGTCAGGACCTTAAGGAGCTCCGAGACCTGGTTCGCAGCCTGGGTCGGGGCGGGGGATGGGGCCCGCTTAGGCGGGCGCCCGTGCAGGTGAGCTGGGGGGAGTCGAGGGGTGGTGGTGAGGGGGAGAGGGTGTGTTTGTAGGTGTGTGGTGGGGGTGAAGCCAGAGCGACTGTGTGGAGGTGGGGTGTGTGCAGGTGGAGTAGTTCAAGGTTTGTTGGTGTAGGCTATGTGCGGGGAGCGGACGTGCGTGAGTACGGGCCGCGAAATGTGTTGTGTGTTTCCTGGGTGTGTTTCTTACCGCCTGGAGGCCCGGCCTTCCGTCCGTTAGGCCGCCCGGCAGATTTCCTTTTGTCAACCCCCCCTTCCGTCCATTCATTCATCCCACCCGCCCGCAGTATCTGGATCTGAATGCTCGGCCAGGTCTCCTTCGTACCGTACTTGAGGCTCAAGAGACCCGGGGCCTTACACGCTCTGAGGACATCAGCAGACTACTGCCCGCGGAGGCGGCTCTGCTGGCTCGGGGGCGGCAGGTGGGAACCCCGGACGGGGGAGGGGGCCCGAGCGGGGAGAGTATGTGTGTACGTGTGTGTTTTTGTGTGAGTTCGAGTTATGCATCCCCGTCCTCTTACGAACCCCCTTCCCCGACACAACACAGCACGTCACTCTCTCACCACCCGTACTTTCTCCTCTCCCCACTTCCTCCGTCAAACCCCGTACATCCCCAATGGGGCCCCCCGGCCCCCGAAATCCCCCTTCCTTGACTTTTGCATGAAGCCCGCTCTCCTCTCGCGCCCCTCCCGCCCCCTTCCCCCCCTTCCCCAGGTCCGCCAGGCCAAGCTGCTGTTCTACGCCCGCCTGGCCGAGAAGGCTCTCCAGACCTACGAGCGGGACGGCTGGGGGGAGTACCCCACGCAGGTGGAGCCGGAGCGGCGGGAGATAAGGCCCACTGCGGACCGGGGACCCATCCTGTTGTGTGTGGACACGTCGGGCTCTATGCGGGGAGCCAGGGAGACGGTGGCCAAGGTGCGAAAGGGGGGGGGGAGGGGGTGATACCGGGTAGGGGGAGGGGGTGATACCGGGTAGGGGGAGGGGATGATACCGGGTAGGGGGAGGGGGTGATACCGGGTAGGGGGAGGCGGTGATACCGGCTAGGGGGAGGGGATGATACCGGGTAGGGGGAGGGGGTGATACCGGGTAGGGAGAGGGGGTGATACCGGGTAGGGGGAGGGGATGATACCGGGTAGGGGGAGGGGGTGATACCGGGTAGGGGGAGGAGGGGGT